GTAACGCGTAAGATAAGGGCGTCATGCGTTGGTTACCGTTGGGTGGCGTTGGATGGTCCGCTTGGAATGCCGTTTAGCGACTTCCCTCTCCTACCATAATCATTCTCTCTCTCTCTCTCTCTCTCTCTTTCCCTCTTCATCTTCTCTCCCCACTCCTTTTCTTTCTCTCTCGCGAGTCTTTCATACCTGCACGCGCGAGTGTGTATATTCTCGCGGTCGCCGAATCATCGAAGTTCCGACCCTTTTCTCCTCGATCGAAGTTTTGGCGCGAGAATGTCCGATTTCATTTACTGATACTAATTAACCAAGGTATTCCTCCTGGAATATTTGTATTTTTGCAGAAAATCTCTGCGTGAAATATTTTTATTTATGAGAGCAATAAAAATATGCATGCAGAAAACACCTTACAGTCTCTCTATCACGTAACGATCAAACGCGATATCGTTTTGTTTGTACAGTAAATTCCTATTAATACGAAACGTGCTTGGAATTATCGCCGCGTGCGAATTCCCGATTAATAGATACGCGCTATTAATTTCCGATGAGGAAGGAAAGTTTGGGTGAAGGTGTAAAAATTGCAGAAGGACATAAATTTCTCTATGGAAATCTTTTTGTGATTTGGAGGGTGTACAATTAGAAACGCGCGTGAACACACCCATCTGGAAATTTTCTCGAGAAAGGCCTCGAGCGAAAGCGATTATCGAAAGTTGATGATAGAGCGGGATAAACTCTGCGATCGTTATCAGCGAAACTGGGATGAAAAATCGACGCGTATAACAAGCGTGCACGGTGGCCTATAAATTTACAATAAACGGTAAAATATAAGCAATATCGATATAAAGTAACACGATGAGTCAAGGCAGTTTGCATTCCCAATCTTTTATTTTTTAATTAAAAAGCAATTTAAATTTTGTACGATTAATTTTGCACGAATATATAAATTTAAAATAGATCACTTTTATAATTATTGATCTATTCTAATTCTATATCATTATGTCGCAACGAGACCGCAAAAACTTATTTGTAATTTAAATTGTGTCATTAATGACACGTAATAACTAGACAATTATTTTAGCTACTGCTTTTGTTGAACTGATTACTGATTGCTCGAGTCAAATATAATTAAATCAAATATAATTAAAAAGTACCGAATTATGTTCCTACAGAGATTCCCAGAAACACCCTGTCCAATTGGATTGATTTATTGATCCGTCTACTTATCCGGAGTCCACGGGACTCGAATAAAGAAAATAAAGAAAAAAAAAAAAGAATTTCTTACAGAAACTCGTCGGACAAACTGGTTCCAAGTGCTCCAGGAAGACATTTTTGTATCAAACGACAACACTGTGCGTTCAATCATGACTTCGTCTATCGATATTACAACATAGTTTTGCCATCCGATTGCGCGCGAAGAGCGTCGTTTCTTTTCGTTACTGATTTATATTCATGACTTTTTTTAGCCGCCGAAAGGAAAGGCGTGATTAATCAAGAGCGTCCATACGTCAAATCGAATACCCATCAACGATCGCTCGGTGATTAACTACTGATAGAAATATTGAGTTTCTATCTTTCAATTATGAAAAAATAAGACTCGGCGGGGAGAAATGGAAAAAGGAAGGGAGAAGAGATTCACGCAACATATGAACGTGTTGTAATTAATACAGGATGCATTTCTTTTCTATCACATCGAAGAGACTATAAGAAACTACATCATCGAAATTACATACCGATCTCGATTATCCGCGGCTTCGTAGATAAAAATAACGACGATCATTCATCACGCTTGCGAGTATAAATTTAGTCTTAAGAGAATTTGTTGGGACGTAAAGACGAAAAGTATTTTTGTATTCGTACGTACTCAGTTTCGCGCCTACTTGAAGTGTGATACATGTCGAGGATTAAATTCTGCTACAAATACCTTTTGGTTGCGTATCGATGCTGCAGAAGACGATGAATCCATGTTCGCGATATTCTCTTCTCGGTTTATCGTGAGGAGCATCCGGGTTTCGCGTAGAAGGAACGCGACGCTCGTTGGACGTTTAACTTCGGCGTATAACATCGCCGAACATATGAATGGCGCATCGCCCCGTAATTACACTGCAAAATTTACGCCGGCATAAATTACGCCCAGTGTGTCGACGACCCGGCGAGCAACGTCATACCCTAACGTTGACGGCCGTTTTCACCTTGCAAATTAATAGCGACTTCTACCGAGAGTACCTCTCTTCTCACTCTTTATCCCGTTTTATTTTTCTCTTTTTCTTCTCTCTCTCTCTCTCTCTCTCTCTCTCTCTCGCTCTCTCACACAGTATTTTCTTCTCGCCATGCAGACGTGAATGAGCGTCAACGGGACATTTTTGCGTTCGTTCATTCGTGATCGTTCATTCGCGCGAGCTATCAATTTAAATAATTCGTTCGACTACGAACATTAATCTTGAATCTAATAAACAGCGGCATTGGCAGCGCTCGTTCCAATTCCACCTCTCGCTACGCGTTAATAAATGTGACGTTTATATGATAACGGGCAGCAACGATCACGCGGATAAGATTTGCGTTTCTTATCTCTCGCACGATATGTCATTAATATTGTTGGCACTAGGTGATTTAATAAACAAATCATTAGTAGAATTATTAGTGGAACCGGTGAGAAAAAAAATGTATTTTTGCACATGTAAAATACCGTGATTCAGGAGACAATTATGTAATGTTCGCAATCGCGTTGTATATAACTTTTGCTTTTTAATTGCATTTACCGCCTTTTGAATTCTTAGGCAAGAATTTTCTGTGCTTAATATAATAAAAAAATGACGAATATGATTTATGTCCATTGCAATATTAATGTATCAACTCCATCTTAAACAATATATATATATATATATGTACTATAATTTGTATCAATCTTCAGGATAGAATATCACGATTTTATACCATATATTTAGATATATATTTTGGTGTATATTTCATTTTTTGATTGCTTAAATACTTTCCGTATTACGCGGCATTTAAATTATAAATCGGGTCTGCCGTGAATTTTGATACGAATTATAGGTTGCCCAAAGTGGACTTTATTTTCTTATTGCAATATTGCGCAACGTGCCACCTGGTTATAGTAGACGTCCGCCACTTGGAATGATGTCTTAATGATCCATCACGTGAAATAATGCGGCGACGCAGAAATTGAGCAAACGAAAGTCATGCTAATCTCGATATACATAGCGAGCGACAGGTTTGAGAATTGAGAATCTTGGCACTTTTAATTTCCTGCAGCAGCCTGTACAAACCAGTTATCTGAATCTCATCACTTTATTCTTTACTCTTTACAGATATTATATATAGTGAGAACTGCAAATTAGATATACATTTTACTCTGTATCTTAATAATTCGATATATATCACATTTTTTATAGATTCAAATATATCATTACATCTGCAGATATATCTGGACGAAAGTTAAAATGTCTCAGAAATCTAATTGTCAAATGTAAAAAATAAACAAAAAGATATCATTTTTTAATTAATATCAAGTGGACTTTAACAAAAATTTCAAGCTTTATTATCACAGAAATATATATTTACAGTTAAATACTTTTTAAATTCAACTTCAGCCGCACATTTGCCAGTAGTCTGTTATTAAAATCGTTAAGAATGTATTATAAGATTGAATTAATTCTGTTGTAAGCTATGGTAACATTTATATTTCATCATCATTCACTATGTTCTCAGGGTAAGAGGACACAGCATCTCTGTTGATCTCTAAAGGTGACCCTACACGATCAATAATACTGATCAGTAATATTGAATCACAGTAATACTGATAATACACATCAATATTTATAATATTTTTACAATCTTGCACGATTAGTATTATTGACATTTCACTTTTATTGTACGTTATTTATTATCACATACTGTGACATAAATCCTAATAAAGCGATATTAATGCTCGAAAATTAAAATCCAGGTCAGTATCCTATCCATCAATATCAACCACACATGATCAATAACATTATCAGTATTTGTTAATACCGAATATTATTGACCAGGTCACTTTTAGGCATCCCTATAAGAAGTACATACAACAACGAGCGCGAAGCTGCACGGACACGAGGCCGCGTTCGCCGGTTCGGCGAGGGTCGGCGAACGTCGTAGAGTACCGCTCCATTACTCCTATTCGCTCGATCGTGGGACGTCCCATCGTCCATCGGCTGGTGGGGGGTCGCCGGTGCTAGGTCTAGGTGCCACGTGGTGGCGCGTACCCCGGGGCGAAATTTCGGTCGTCGTCAGCAAGCGTGCACAAACGAGAGATCTCTCTCTCCCGCTCCATCCACAACGGCGCACCTTCTCTCCTCCCTGTGCGTACCTCCTTCTGTCTTGCTCCGTTGCTCCTTCGCCGGCGTTTGCCGGGACACCCGGCTGGATGGTAGGGCAGAATACTAAGGTGGTGTATCGCGGTGGTAGTAGTAGTAGTAGCTCTCGGTAAGAGCGCACCGTAGCACCTCCCGTTTTGTCCGCGGCCATACAGCCTCTTAGGCTTTACTTTCGTACATTTCGCCGACATCCTCGTCGCTCAGTCGACCGCGACACGGAGGCCACGATCAGCTGTTTCGTACCGGTCTCGTCGAAAGATCGGTGCGAACGCCGTATCATCCTCGGTTATCCCTTTCAAGTTCCCTCTTTCTTCATCATTTCTTTTAATTTCTGAGCGAGCCATTACCCGGGATAGAACACGCGAAATATTTTTCGAATAGCATATTTCGAAGACCAGGTTGCAACCCCTAGGTCGAGACTCCGATTGATCAATTTATCATTTTATCTACAAGAAATATGGAGACAGATCGGTTAATACGATCACAATTGAAATGAATTTAAGTGTGATACTATGTGTCTGGAAAATATAAAAAATGACGTTGGCCGAAGGAATATCGCGGCCGCGAAACTATCACGTATTGCGTGAACTATAAACAGCAATGGTGATCGATGAATGAGTCATGCGACATCGTTCGTTCATAGTGTATATTTTCATTCTGTTTTCTCATGTTCTTTTTTTTTTTAATTTATAAATGATGCTTTTCTCTTTCCCCCGCTTCTCTACTTTCTACTAAAATTTTATTAGGATTTACGTCAAATATTTTGAAGATCTCATGCATAAAAAAACGTTTCGAAAAACTCCTTTCTAATCCTTTAATCTCGACAATAATTCCCGCGGTCTCTCGTTCCGAAAATATATAAATACGCCTCGTAACCTTGCGAGTGAAGACGGTGGTGCTCTTCGTCATCAGTGTGACTTGATGTGCCCGTCCCGACGTGGTGTGCAGTGTATTATCGCGCGCGCGGATGCGACGGCCGACGTGGAAGCGGGTGTAGCACGATCGGACGGGATTCCGCTTGCGTTGTGTCGTGTGTACGATGACGAAGAAGGATCCGAGTTGAGGTGGTTCCCGAGACGCGCGAATTTCTCCGTGGAGAGTGCCGATCGTGCATCGCCGTTGATTTACGGAGCCGGCAAACTGGAGATCCTGGGGATGTTCCCGCCGCGCACGGAGGCGCCGACAGCCGACAAGCTGACGTTCTGCTACGCGCCCCATGTCGACATGGCCACGGTCATCGAAGTCGAGGTGCGACTTTTTTTCCCCCGCTTTTTCCTGGCACTCAAGAAATACTCTTCCTTCCTCCGAAATATTTCCCGATCAAAAGAGCCGCATGTTACGTGGAACTGCGCGACTTATACAGTCCTGCTGGAGCAAACTTCGAAATTAAACAAAGGGAATAAAATTTTGTCACCTATACGTATTACGTGTATTATCATCAGCAAAAGGTTCTCTACGTGTTATCGCAATATACTGTTGCGCGAATATGGGTCAAAATACGTAAATATAATATATACAGCAATTACCTTTTCATTACATAGCGACTATGTAGATACGGCAGTTGCGTATTTTTAATCGTACGCACATTCAACGTTAATGGGTACCCTGTCAAACTTTAACTGATATTAATGCAAAGTTAGCGGTAATTATTGTGTGCTCTTTCTTGAGGGCATTTTGCCATTAATTTCTTTCTCCCTTTACTTATCTCATGTTACTTCTCGCAAGTGCTTGTCCCGCGCGCATGAAATAATTTACACATCTTTTAAATTCACGACACAATTACTTCGTGCAATTTTCAATTCGTATCTTTAACTCATCTTCCATAGAGGAATAGCGGGAGTTTACACCTCCGCAGCGCACATTTTTATCTTTTATATTCTCGTACAATAATTCTCATGCAATAATATAAGAAGAGAAATATAATAATAATTATCATCCGTTACGTCGGTTGCAGTTACGTACGCTATATCAGTATAATTTTTTCTTAACACTAGGACTATCAAAATTGTCAAAATGACCTGTTTGTAATTTTTTCCACAAATTTATAATTTTTTGAAATTTTAACTCTTGCAATATATAAATGATAAAATTGGTCAATTTATTTTCCTTTTTCATCTCTTTTTTTTTTAATATTTATCTTTTAAGAAATGAATATATTATATGAGTATTCCAAAAGATTTTAAGGATCGATTCCTTATACAAATTCAAAATGAAAAAACTTTATATGACCATATATCCGAATGGGCTTCAAAGATATATACTAAATGTCAAAGTTGAAGAAAAAATTTTGTTTTTTTTTTAAATTTAAAAATCATTCTGGTTATTTTGAATTTTTACATATGTTTAAAATTTCGTCAAAATAACTCGAGTGATTTTCCAAATATTTATATTTAACTGTAATCACATTCAAGTTCTCACACACAAAATATAATTTAACAGTACTTTTTTTTAATAAATTTTCTTTCACTGACGAAAACAAATCTTTTACTAACGAATTAAGATATTATTGACTTTAAGTTTGACGAACGCGGACAAAATATAAAATGAATGCATCATATGTGTGTAACTTGTAAACGTGACAATATAATTAATTTTATAATATTATACAATTTCGATGTCGTCATATTTAATAACGCTAAAATTTCTTCACATTTTTGAGATACTTTGTGTCGATACGTAGCAGCCATTAAAATTAATTTAAACACATCGATCGTTGCCCGTGACTATACACCTTTTTCTTGGAAATTTGCGCCTAATCTCCCATCGCGCAATTTCGCCATGTGAAGGGGGCCGATTTATTGATTATTAATTGTACACATGTCGTATGTAACGACGCTTTCTCCAATCTTATCAACAGTGATCTCAGCAGGAAAGTTCGGCCGTGTTCTTTGTGAAGGGAGCTGCCACTTTTGCGGATTGTTCAATATTAAAATATCACACACGCTCGATATCACCGATACAAAATTCCCACGTCATGCTCATACATCAACGATTTCTCTTCTTCCCTCACTTCCTTTTTGCGGAACAACGATTGGTATCGGTTTATTTGGCAATGATCTCGCGACAGTGTATGTTTATACGGCATTTCAACTTTGTAGGCGTAAGAGAGTGCGAGTCGTTCAGCAACGATTCGACATACCTGATTAAGAGCGAGTACAAGACAAATACATATTCGACATTTAAAATATACGTTTCCGACTCTCGACTTTCCTTCCTATCCTCGTGTTTGCCTTCCATCATGAGTATCTATACCATATGCGCGCAGGGCACATATATAAATAACTACGTGTTACTACGTGTAACTACGTATACTAACTGCCTACGCGATTTATTGTAATTTGTGCTGTCATATTTTAGAATATATAAAATTTACTTTTTGAAAATTTTAAATCTTAGTATTGTCAACCTTCGTTTAAAGCAATGCATTTGTCATAATATGGAAAATTATTTAAAATTGCGAAGCAAACATGCCATTTCTTCTTGTGACACACAATGGTAGCGTTTTTTTATGAAATATATTTTCTGACCATTAGTAACAATATATATAAAATAAGATGGCCACGTTCCAAATTAGGAGAGACAGACCTAAATTTTAACTCTTTGTTCCCACTTTACAGCGCGTCCTAAATTTGATCTAAATTAAGGACATAATTATGAATTGTCCCTCTAGGTACAATTTAAAAAAATAAAATATGCTCTCGTAACTTGAAGTGCGTTCCGTTTCATAGTGCTCATGATATATCATTTTATTCTAGTTGTTTACCGAATATTAAAGAAAGATAAAATGATATATTATACGCATCATGCGTGAAACGAAATATAGCCTTGATGTAATTTTTATTGTGATCTTATGTTATACATTAAGTACCTATTATTAGTTATTTACAAGCATAATAATATAACATTGTTCATATGTGTTTTATTAATAATTATAAAAACTGTTTATCTACTAAATTTAATTATGACAATTAACATTGATTTTTTTTTAAATGTCCCTCCTTTCTTAAGAAGTTGGTCACTTTGATGTAAAGACACGCAATTGCGATTTATATCTTTTGATGTGTAATAAACTGACTTATATAATCATATATCCATCGCAACGTTGCGCTGAAGTTTCAAGCTACGATTTCAAAAGTCTAATTTAGAAGATGATCAAGTATAACAACAATAAATTTTACTTCTTATCGATTAGAAGCTCGTGTTTGCCTTGAAATATGAAACTTGGGATTTTTACAGCATAGTATTTTTGAAAATTAATAAAAACATCTTTCGCGGAACTAATGTCGATAAATGATCGGTTTAGTTACATAACAACTATACATTTACATACACTGCATGCACGCACACAATGTAGCACGTATAAAGCTTGTACAACAATAGAAAACATTTTTGTATCAATAAATATAATTTAAAAATATAAATATAAATTGATATTGTAAATAATAAAAATATAGAAGATTAATT